ATTTGAAAACACTGCTCTATTGTAAAACTCAATAAGTTTTAGGAAAGGATAATTATCTTGAGCTTTTTACCAAATATAATTCCAGGAGCATTAACTCGACACCAAAACACTTGAACTCCAGTTCTATTAATTCCATCTGGATGATTTGGGAGTGGGTTAGTGTTTCACAAACCTGTTTTCACATTAGAATCACATTAAAAATTCCAAAGCTCAGGCCACTTAAATCTCAATCTGTAGGGCTGTGACAAAACCATCAATTTTTTTTTAGAGACCCCCAAAGTGATTTCTACCTGAAAACAAGTTTGAGAACTACTAGGCTATTGTTTGCCCCCTCTATTTCTTCTTTTTTGGAAGTACTGCACTGTAATTCTTTTTTTGGTGATGGAGATCAAACCCATGACTTCAGGCTCATTAGGCAAGCAGTTTACCACTGACCCACAAATCCAGCCCCTCTTCCTATAAAAAAATTGACAACTCCCATTTTAAAATGTCAAAATAGTTAATCTACTTAATGCATGTGCCTATACAGTGCTTATAAGGGATGGAACTCTATATCAACTATATAAAGCATTACGGTTTTTGGCTTCATTTAAAAGTTTAGCTTTGGGAAGGTGGACCCAGGGTCAAAGTTACTTAGAGAAACCTGTGTTCCCCTCTTTCCTTCTTTTTGCACTTCATCTTTATGCAAATAGTGGAGAGTGTATTATTATTATTCAGGTCAAATCTGGGTTGGTGACTCTGAGACGCGTTACCAAGGACTGGCTGCTAAATTAGCAGCAATAAGGTCTGTTAGAGTTTCTTGCCAACCTCAGATGGAGACTGGGACAAAGCCCATACAGCACATATTAGTTTACTCTAAGGAAGTCACCCTCATCCTTTTTCTCCTTCTCTTCCTGGTCCTGCTTTTCTTTCGTTTCTCAGTCCAGCATTTTCCCAACTATTGCTTTTCTGTTGGATATGCTGGTTTGTTGCCTACTACTTTTTCCTTTTATAGTACTGGGAACTGAACCCAGGGCCTTTTCACTGGTTGGTGTACCCTGCTACGTTTTCTTTAAAATTTTAAGACAAGGTCTTGCTAAGTTTTCCCTGGATTGGCTCAGATTGCCTCAGCCTTCCAGAGTGGTGGGATTAGAGGTGTCTGCCACCATGCCTGGCTTGTAATTCACCAATAAGAAAACCCCATCTAGGGGGCTGGGGATTTAGCTCAGTGGCACAGTGCCTGCCTGGCAAGTGCGAGGTTGTCAGTTCGATTCCTGGTACTGGGGAAAAAAAAAAAAAAAGAAACCCCCATCTAGAGCAGATTTAGATATCAAAAAGGAAGAAAAAGCGTGTTTACTGAAAACATTTCAACAACAATTACATCACCCAATCTTTAAATCCCAATAATAGCAAATTTGAGAAATCTCGGGTTATTTTTACTGTCATACGTAATTGTACATGACCTTTTGTTTTCTTTTATTTCCAGCAGTTTGCGTTCATTTATTAGCATTTAATAGAGCCTGAGGCTTCATATGCCTTTGCTTTTCAGATAAACTGTGTTCTTTCTGCAAAACATACAGTGAATGATTTTCTACTAAAATACGTGAGATTAATGGGAACGTTTCATAGGGATGGATCATTGGATTTTTGTATTTGGCATTTTATTTCCTAAAGAAACTTGCAAATTGTTAATCAGTTTTATGTTAAATCGGTGTTAAAAAAGTAATAACCTCAGTATTACTTGAAATCTAAAGACTCTTAAGACTAGGCTTTAAAACAAAGGATTTAGATTATGATAAAAGTTGGCAAATTGATTAATCTTGTTCCAAGGCCTTTACTTACAACTCTAATTATACGCACAACTCTTTGTTCCCTGGCCCCTGTAGACAAATTAAAGTTGTATTTATTTACTGTGATTCAGGAAGGAGGACTAACCAGAAAGGGCTTTAATCTTAACTACTCCATCGGTACCTGTGTTCAGGCACTAGAACTTCTCACGTAGTCTACTATCCTTACCATTTTCCAGTCAAAAGCTACAATAATCTTTCCAAAGTACAGAAGTAGTCATTTCTCTCTTCTACTTAAAATCCTCCAGTGTTTCTTGTGAGGTGCTTATGTCTAACTCTGGCTGCCCAGAACTTTGTCTTTATTTAGAGTGAGATTTTTTTAAGATGATATCTAGCTGTATTGCCCAGGTTGCCCTTGACCTCCTGAGCTCAAGAGAATCACTTGCGTCTGCATCCCCAGTAGGTGGGATTATTGGAACACTCTGCCACACCCAGTGTAATTCTTAATTTGATATTAGAGGGGCATGTGCCAGTCATTCCTAGGGAGGAGAAGCAGAAAGAGGAGAAGCTCAAGAGTCTCCAATGGCCATGTCATTCACCAGGTGCAGGAGCCCTGTCAGCAGTGGGGAGGAGTGAAGTTAACCCATGGGAATCAGAAGAGGTAAGAGGTAGAGAGCCCTCTGTGGGGGAATCAGAGGAACTGGTTCATGGGTCCTTAAACCTTGGTTGTAGTTCTGTCCAGAAACTGGTTGGCTTGACCTTTCGTTGGATCACATGGAATACCCCAGAGCATTCCTATGAAAGACCCCCCTCACTTAAGTTAGTGAGAAATGGATTTCCATAGAGTAAATAAAAGGGTCTTTCCTATCTGTGCTGACATTAAGAGTTCTCTGCCAATTAGCTGAGGCTATGTTCAAAGAGAAAGGGGAAAAAGCTGTAGTAGAAGCAAGTGTCTGCCACACCTACATTATTTCCAGTATTACCTTCTCCATCCTTGTGCCCCCCATTTCCCACCACTAACACCACCTCCGGTGTAAGTGCCAGCTGTACTGAACCACCGTCGGTCCCCCACAATGCTATGTTGTTTATAGTTTCCGGATCCTTGCACGTATCTTTTGTTCTGCCCTGAACACACTGTATTCATTTCCTTCACTGGCTTCTTGATCTGGACTTCTCCTGCTTTCTGTCTTTAGGCTTCAGCTTAGTTATCACTTGGTTAAGAAGCATTCCCTGACTTCCAACCCTATAGTACCCTCCGCTTGGTCCTATTTCACAGCTTCTCACATTATATTGTAACTTTTCATGAATATTCTCCACTGGGCTACAAACTTTAATTGCTTCTTGATTTGTTCTTATTTTTCTGGACTCTCATGTGAAGCCCATGTGTGGCTGATGATGAATACATACTTTCTTGGATGATGAATACATACTTGCAGAAATAAATGAAGTGAAGCATTTTTGGATGTGCTCAAAATCAACCTGTGTTAGAATCACTTGGAACACAACTCATTGGGATATAAGTGTTAATTCATTTGTGATTATCATTGAGGAGAATGGACAAAAAGCAATCTATTTAAAATTTCTAGTAGATATTTACATTTTAAAAGTTTTGTGCCAGATGTGGTGTCACATGCCTGTAATCCCAGCACTCGGGAGCTGAGGCAGGAGGGCTGCCACAAGTTCGAGGCCAGCGGGGCCTGCATAGTGGGTTCAAGGCCTGTCTGAACTACATGGCAACAACCTGTCTCAGAGTTTTGCTATGATGGCTTTAAAAGGAAGTAGCAAAGGGTACTTCCCCAGGGCAGTGTTTATTCTGCTTGCCTCATACCAGAGCCAAAGATTCTTTAAGAGATTTTAAATGGTCCTTGAATGAGTCACCTATTTGTTGCTGACCAGAATGACCAGAATGCCCAGAATGCCTGACACACACAATTTAAAGGAGGAAATGGTGTATTTGGCTCACAGTTCTGGTCTATGTTTGATTGGCTCCATGCAAATGCATCATGGTGGGAGGACTTGGCAGAGCAAAGCATACTGGGAAGCAAAGCATGTTGGGAAGCAAAGCATGCTGGGAAGCAGAGCATGCTGGGAAGCAGAGGATGGGAAAGAGCACCAGCGAGGTATATGCCCTTTAAAGCTATGCTCTCAATGACACCACTTCTGATTGGGCTCCACCTCCTCACAGCACATTCAGCTGAGAACGACTAATCCACTGGAGAGTCTATGAAGAGCACAGCACCCCATGACTCTGTCACTTCTCTGGGAGTCTCTTAATCCAGTCAGGTTGACAGTGAAGATTAATTGGCATGTGTAGCTTCCAAATGGGCAGTTTTCTGCATGGGGACTCATAGCATAGGAACTAAATGTTGCTATGTGATTTACTTACTTTAAGACTTTGTCTTACTTAAGTTCTTGCTACCATTTCCTAGCAAAAAGTGATAATGTGATTTGACAAGGGTCTTCTACTCATTTTTCTTCTTAGAATTTTAAATAAAAGCTTAATGAGTGAATGAAATGGAGTAGAAGAAAAGTAACTACCAAATTTGATTATGTAACAGGGGTTTGAAACTTTAGCACGTTGAGATTATACACTGAGTTTACGACTTTTGTGCAGCAAAGAATCATTTGTTCATATAATTTTAAAGAAAACTGACCAGGTACAGGTTGTGGAGGCTTTGGGTTTTAGTTGTGTTGTCACTTCTGGGTGTCATACACTTCTTTTGAGTGAACTTCCTCTATCACAACAGGCCTACTTTGAATGGTGCCCAAAGCTGGAAGAGAATCTCCAGCTGGCCAAGTCTACAAGGAAAGCAGCTCTTCCCTGACCCTTATGAACTCTAGTGGCTCCAGTACTGCTGGAGTGGCATGTGGCTGTGTGGAGCCTGTAACAAGCCTAGCAAGACCATTGAAAAGGAAAACGTGTTTGGGAAACCATAAAGCCCCTTGAGAAGATGATTGTTTTTGAAACATGATTCCTACTTGTTCCTGAGATCTGGTTGAAACTAAATTACCCAAGTATTCATCATAAAGTGATCACAGTACTTTGGTACTTGACATGCATTGAGAATGTCTCACACTCTTAGCCATAAAGTCAGGCAGTCCCAGCAGTAATCCATATCAAGCCAATTGAAAAGGAAGAGACATCTATGATGCTGAGCCAGTGAGAAACCTGGAGTGCAGGTAAGTGGTGTGAATGGGCATTGACACTCCTTCCACATTGTTCTTTCTTCCTAGACCTCGTGGAGGTGTTCCCATGACTGGAACCTGGAGCACAGATGGCTTTGCACCGTATTCTGGCACCAGATGGGGTGAGAGAACGTGTTGCTGCTCTTCATGGTGTCCTTAAGGTACAGTTGAGATGGAAAAAACTCACAATAGTTAATTCTGAACATAAATTTCATTGTTCACTTGGTCTGCAGTAAAAGATTTTATTGGCTACCTGAAGTCAGGAGCTACATAAATTCTTGAGCTAATTATTTGCTCAAAGCTGACGTTTAAAATGTTTAACAAGTACACTGATTGGAATCTAGGACTTAAAACTGGGTCCTCATGCCAAATGACAGCCATTTGGTCGATGAATTGTAGGGAGGACGGAGATGTCTCTGAGGAGGAGTGAAAATGACTGGGGCGATGGTGGACAGACTAGTGCGGTGGCAGTGGAGTACTTCTGAGGTAGTTACGGGTGAGTGAGTACAGGTGGGGCAATTTTTAGAGCTGGTCTGACTAGGTGATCAGAGGCTTGGGAGGATGAAGATTGATGATAAAGGTTTCAGGAAGGGTTGATGGACCACAGAATGGGCCCAACATGTGAAAATACCCATTTCTTTGTGAATGTTCACTGAGATGTTGTTTTGTAGAAGAGGTTTCAAGCACTAGAAAAATGACATGAGTTCTTCTGTGTGATCAATCATCCTTATTCTTCAGCCAGGTCATTAGTTCATGGACAGAACAGGTATGGTGGTCAGTCTGAAGGTAAGGGTTCATCTCACCAGCATCAGTGTCCAGTCACCAAGACTCATCCGTGTGCTGTTAGCAGCAGTGACTAGCACCAGGGGACATGGCTGAGTTGAGAACAACCACTCCTAATGGAAGGACAGCAATAGTCTTCGTGGGTTTGTATTATTAATGCCTCCAAAGCATCACCAAGGTTCCATTCATGGATTCTGTTCAATGAACTCACTGCATGATAAGATGTTATGGTTTATATCCAGATGTCCTCACAAAGCCTCATGTGCTCATAGATAGAACTTTGGGGAGGTGATTGGGTCATGGGGTTGTGATACTCATTGGGGTACTGATCCACTAATGAGTTTGTAGCTAAATATGATCTTGGGAGGTGAATCCTGGTTGGGGGAGGTGAGTCACTGGGGCATCACCTGGAAGGGTCTCTCTCTTCCCTGCTCTTCCCTGTAAGAAGAAATGAAAAGCACAGAGTAAATCTTTTCCTTCATGGGTTATGCTCTTCTTTCACTTTCCCTAATTTTTTGGTGGGCAAAGGTCTGCATGAATGGAATAATTATAGTCATCTTTCTAAAGTTGAAATCTGAACCTCTAGGACATGACAAGTGCAGGGCTGAAAAGAAGTCATCTGGAATGATCCACTCTGTACAGGTGGTCTAGGATGGCTGGTCCAGTGAGTAAACTGAGTCAGGAAGTGAGCAGACATAGGGCTGGAGTAACAGCCAGCAAGTCAAAACATGCACATAAAGAAGCTCAGAAAGTTGCTAGCTTCCTCGATGTGTACCATTTCATCAAAGTCATTGCCACTGGGAGACAGACATAGATATTCTATGGCAGTAGATCAAGGGTATAAAGAAACTTACTAAATACACAGTTACTTATTGGGGCTTTTAGTTTTTATTATTCAGTTATGTCACTGCATCCTCTTTTTCTTCATTCATTGGCCTTTCCAACCTTCTCCGTACTGAAGTCTAATTTCCTTTATTCTACACAAATGCAGTGGTCCTCAAACTTTGGTATTATTAACGATTATCTGAGAGAAGGGAGTGCTTGCTAAAGTGTATACTCCTGGGTCCACCACTGAAAAGTTCTCATTTATTAGTTTTAAGGTAGGACCCAGGTTTTAATTAGAACCAGGAGTTTCAAAAGCACTCGGTTATTGGTTGTATGGCATATAAATTATTTTCAAAATGAAGAACATTTGGGAGAGTGGAGTGGATTGAAACTAACAATGTGTCCAGAATAATAGGTACAAACCAACCCTGTCTGAGGCAGACCCTGACATTAGGTCACCACCAGTCATTGATTACTTTGAGTGGAACTTCTAAGTAAAATTAAATTTCAATTATAGCAACTCAGACTATTCACATTTAAACTGATGGTGACCCAAAAGGGCTTGTTCAGTGAGAAATTTTAGATGTCAAGAAAAAAATGGATGCATTGCTTTTATTTTTGCTTCAGGTAGGGACTGACTGCTGGATCTCATGAAAATCATGTCACTTGGGTATACCTGACTGCTCAAATGACTTTTGCATCTGTTCAAGCGTTCTTTCCTATCTCCTTCACTCCACTGGTTCTTCCTTTTTTTTCTTCTCCCCTCATTCAGTATTTATTAAACATGCATAAGGCTAAGAAAATATTAAATATCCAGAAGGCTACAAAATTCAGAGCCTGGGAGAGTGTAATCATGGACTCTCCTTCCTCTAAATATCCATAAAGTTTGGAGACAACCCAACCCTTGAACCCTGGATTTGCTGCTGATTTGGACAGATGTTTGGCTCAACATCATTTAAAATAAAACAGAACCAGAAAGCAACATGTGTTTTACTTTAATGCCAGCTTCACAACTTAACCAGAAATGCTGTAACCTTGAATGTTTAAAGGACTAATTACTTCAGAGTCCTTTTGAGCAATAGTTAATGTAAATATGAAATTACATCTCTTTTGTCTAACTGGATTGTCAAAACGTTTACATTCGTTCTTGTGCATGATAATAAGGTTTAGCTTTGCTCTTTTTCATTAATACTGGGTTTGCCTTGTAGAGAGCAGATGAAGTATGTCAGAAAAGTAGGCACTTGCCAGCGAGGAGGAACGCATGAACTATTTTGGGCCACTGATAAGAAATGGTGTTCGCTACAAAAATAAAGTAGAAAATTACATTTATGGTGACATAGAAGAATTACTGTTGCCTTAGAAGATCTTACCATTTGAATTTTTTTGCCTCAGCTTCCCAATTTTAAAAAAGTGAACATTTCTAGAGAGCTTGTATATTGTTTTTACTTTTCCTTTCCTTTATCAGACAGAAAAATGCTTTTCTTTGAAGTATAGTATCATCTTTTTTTGATCTTTGTTGATGATGTGTCACTTTATAGATGGTCTAGAAGACTTGGAAGAACGTGAGTACTTTGATGGAGAGATACATATTTTTAAACAAGTTATTATTTTTCTTTGACCTTTCATCTTCCATATGTGGATGACTATAAACACAGTTTAAAATTATAAGTTGAAATTCTTTACTTAAATTTAGCTTTCCTTAAAAAATTCAACAAGAAGAATGTCAGTTCTAAACAAATCTTCTTTATGTATAAGCTCTCTGTGGAGTATATATTTCCTATAAAATAAACATCACTTTTGCTTTTGTTAACCCATTTTATGCCAAGAAATTTTGTAATGATTCTTTTTTTTCTATTTTTCCTCTGTAAATCTATTAGAGTAATACTAGTTCCTTCCTGACTTCCTGATATATTTCTCTGCTATTGCATTATAGGTACTTACTGTGCTGGAATAATCTGTCTTTATAAATTAACTTTATTTTTTCATCTTAATTTTTCCAGTGCTCTTGGTTTTTTCATTTTATACAAACATTTAAAAAAATTTTTCTGACGATGCATTCCTACTTTAATGAAATTCTCTTTATAAAATTTAATTAAAAATATTTCCTACCTTGATATACTAACCTGTAGTTATTTTTAGACTTTAGTGTTTCCTACTAGTTCAAATCAAAAAGAAAGATGAAAATATTTTTATGGTATTCTCAATAAGTGCCTTATTCCTTCCTATCTTTTGAGCAGTGGTTTGGATGTTATTTATTCTATCATCTCTGGTATCCTTGGAATGTAAAAACATGTTCTGTCTTCCTGATATAAAGTTACTTTATAGTTCTTCATACATATACTTACGTATCTCATATTTATCTATCTTCTCTGTGTTCCTTCATTTAGCTAAATGTTTACTGAGTGACTGTCATGAGTTGGATACTGTGTTATGTTTATTATTATTTCTTCTCAAATGCATTTTTGGATTATCTTTCTTAGGCCTCTCATAAAAAGTACATTAAAATTCTCTTCTGATTTAAACATTACTTCTTGCATAGTTAAGTGAACTGCACTGTATTTACAGATCTGAGTCAGGACTACAAAGTAAATTCGCTAGTAGTACTGATAATTCTGATACTACCCAGTGAAAATATCTATATGTAGTTTTTCTGTGCATGTATAAAACTTCATTGAGATATTCTAAACAACTACAGAAAATTTCATTAGCTTTACTGGAAACAGTTTTGTTTAAAATGGCAAATTAATCACAAGTGAACAAAAGTGTACATTAATATCATTTAGTCACATACTGATTTGGTCAAATTGTCAGTTTATTCCAGCACCAAAAAAGCAAGACTATTGAAAACTTTTTAGTAGTCATGTTAAAGTTATTCTATTCACTGAAAATTCACTCTTTTCAAATCTAGTTTTGTTTTTAGATCTATATAGATTACCTTATGAGAAAACGATCAAGAGAAAATAGGAAATTAAAGAGAAAATTTGCCCAGATGATATAATTAATTGGAAGCCATCACTCTTAGCCAGCTCTGTTTAGGCAAGGTTGGTAGAGCAGAAGATTTTGTATAGGGCAACTCAGTGCGCTGGGTACTGCAGCAGCCTCCAGTGGAACCCTTGACTTTGGACTCTCCTCCCCTCCCCTCCCCTCCCCTCCCCTCCC